CTATTCCAAACTGTACCTGTGAAGTTGCGAAGGAAGTATCAGATCTAGCTTCTTTCAATAAACTTATGCAGTTTTTGATGGGTTTAAATGATACTTACGACAATATTAGAAATCAACTGTTGGTGATGGATCCATTACCATCGGTAAATAGAGCTTATTCCATGGTGCTGAGAGTGGAAAAACAAAGGGAAGTGCATATACTCTTCCCAGAAGTTACTGATAATCATGCTATGATGACAGCAGCAAACAATTACAGAGGTAATGGACATCTGAAAGGAAGAGGAAATTGGACTGGAAGATATAATTCTGGAAGAAGTAACACTGGTTTTGGAAGAGGAAATAATAGAAGGTTTAACAACTTTGACAGAGATACGCTATTCTGTGATTTTTGCCACACTAATGGACATTTAAGAGATGGATGTTTCAAATTGATTGGTTATCCAGATTGGTACAAGGGACTGAAGGAACAAAGAGCTAAAGATTTTGGAGGAAGGACTATGGTGAACAATGTGCTGAATATGACAGATTCACCACTTGATTTTGAGGAAAAGGAAGCTGAAATAAGTCAGAAGAATGAAGTATCCAGTAGAATCACAGACATTGTGCAACAAGAATTGATGAAAATGTTCAAAGGAAAACTGCTGGTTGACAATGGTAACCAAGTTAATTTTGCACACCTCAATGACTACTCAGGTATCTGTACTCAACATTTGGCCTTTACATCACTTGATGATTTTGATTGTCGAACTTGGATAATTGATACTGGTGCTAGCACACACATATGCACTGATCTTAACCAAATGACGAATATAACACCTGTCACACAGTCCACTATTGTTTGTCTACCTGATGGTTCTATCAAACATGTCGAACACATTGGATCAGTCACAATAAATCAGAAATTACTACTTACCAATGTGTTACATATTCCTACATTCAAATTTAACCTATTATCTGTTCCAAAGTTAACACAGACAGCAAGAGTCAAATTTGTTTTTTATCCTACTTATTGCTCTTTACAGGACCTGAAGAGTGAAAGGACTTTAGCAATTGGAAAATTGAATGGGAAGTTATATGTACTAGATGATCATAGTTTCATGGATGAGGAGATTGAAGGTTGTAATAGAGAAATTAATTCTTGTAATAAACTATCAGTTGGGACTTTAAAACCTGCTGATAGTAAGTCTCATCTCAATAAAAATTCTCCTATTTCTATTGTTGATTGGCACAAAAGGTTAGGACATGCTTCATACCAAAGTCTCAAACATTTACATTTTCTCAGTCAATTATGTCACTCCTCAGCCATTGAAACTTTGCAGCCTTGTGACATTTGCCACAGAGCAAAACAGAGTAGACAGTCTTTTCAGCATTCTCAGATTCGAACCAAATCTATTTTCGATCTTCTGCACATTGACATTTGGGGACCATATAAACAATATACTCCTACTGGTACACCCTTCATGCTGACTATTGTTGATGATTTTTCTAGGGCTACGTGGACTTTCATGTTAATTCAAAAATCTCAAACTGTAAAAACTCTTGAATCTTTCTTCAAAATGGTCAAAAATCAGTTTGAAAAACATGTCAAAACTATAAGAACTGATAATGGCAGTGAATTCACTAGTCATGAATGTCAGATTTTGCTTCAAACTCTTGGAATTTTGCATCAGAAATCGTGTGTCTACACTCCACAACAAAATGGAGTAGTGGAAAGAAAACATAGGCATTTGCTAACTATGGCCAGATCACTTATGTTTCAAGCTGACTTACCAAAACATTTTTGGTCATATTCCATTCTTATGTCCACCTATATCATCAATCGGATTCCCAGTTCAACACTTAAATGGCAAACTCCTTATGAAGTGTTATATGGAACAAAACCAGATCTTTCTTCTCTTAGAACCTTTGGGTGTCTTTGCTATATCACAAACAATGCACCTCACAAGGATAAATTTGATTCAAGAGCTCATAAATGTGTCTTCATTGGTTTTAGTCCTGGACAAAAGGCATATAAAGTGTATGATCTTTCAAGCAAGCAAGTTCATATCTCAAGAGATGTTATTTTTTATGAAAACATCTTTCCTTTCAGCTCTAAACTTCAGCCAGCTCTACCCACACCTTTACCTGTTGCCTCTCCTCTAGATGATTCCTTAAATCCTCCTATATCATCTATCAGTTTGTCTAACAACTTCCCCAACACAGGTCAAAGTTCTGTTTCTGCAAATAATTCACCAAGCTCTTCCACTTCCGACCCTCTTCTTGTTCCTGTTATACCAGTTCCTTTCCCTGAATCCCCTGCTAATGATTTAGATGATGTGTCAGAATCTAGGCATAGCAATAGACTGAGGGTTAAGCCTGCTTGGTTGAATGACTATATAACTAATGTTACTGATAGTTCAATGCATCCAATTGCTAATGTTCCTATCAGTCGTGATACCACTAAATTCAGCTCACAATATACACCCATAACTTTTCCATATTCTGTCTCTCCTTGTTTGGATCATGCTTATATCTCGTTTCTGGCCAATGTATCGACTATTCGAGAGCCACACACTTATCATCAAGCTTGTAAGGATCCAAATTGGGTACAGGCCATGAATAAGGAGTTGAAGGCATTGGAGGAAAATGATACATGGGAATTGACCTATTTACCTATTGGAAAGAAAGCCATAGGGTCTAAATGGGTTTATAAGGTGAAGCTTCAACCAGATGGCACTATTGATAGATTTAAGGCCCGATTGGTGGCAAAGGGTTATGATCAACTTGAAGGAGTGGATTTTTTTGAGAGTTTTTCCCCTGTGGCCAAGTTAGTTACAGTCCGAATCTTTCTTGCCATTGCTTCAGCCAAGTCTTGGCCCATTCACCAGCTGGATATTAACAACGCATTTTTACATGGGTACCTAGATGAAGAGATATATATGGAACCACCTGCTGGATATGAAGGGGTTTTGGCAGGTCAGGTGTGTAAATTAAAAAGGAGTCTTTATGGTTTGAAGCAAGCGTCCAGACAGTGGAATATTGAGCTCTGTCATAAGCTCACTAATTATGGCTTCACTCAGTCCCAGCATGACCACTGCTTGTTTGTTCATCAATCTTTTGGACATAGCACTTTTATTTTGATCTATGTCGATGACATATTAGTTACTGGAACACATGAATCTGATATTCTTTCTGTCAAGCAGTTCTTACATTCCACGTTCACCATTAAAGATTTGGGTTATGCAAAGTTTTTCTTGGGGCTCGAAATTGCAAGAGGAAAAGGTGGTACCTATGTCAATCAACGAAAGTACATTCTCGATATCATTTCTGATGCAGGCCTTGCCGGTGCAAAACCTGTGAGTGTTCCTTTTCCTATAGGAACAAAGTTATCTCAACATGCTGATGCTCTCTTTCCTGATCCCGCAAAGTACCGGAGGTTGGTTGGCAGACTTTTATACTTGAATTTAACACGCCCAGATCTGACATATGGAATACAGCAATTAAGTCAATTTGTTAACAGCCCTTGCCAGATTCATTGGGATACAGCAATGCATCTTTTGAGGTATTTAAAAGGCTGTCCTTCGAAGGGTTTGTTCTTTCCCATTCAGCAGGAGCTCTCCTTGTCCGCTTATTCTGATGCAGATTGGGCTTCCTGTGTTGATACTAGACGTTCTCTTACTGGTTTTTGTGTGTTCTTGGGTAATACTTTGATTTCATGGAAGACCAAGAAACAAACCACCGTTTCGAGATCTACAGCTGAGGCAGAGTATCGTAGTATGGCTGCCACAGTTTGTGAACTTCGATGGATCAGCTATGTGCTTGCTGACTTTATGATCGACCTTTCTCTTCCGATCCTGCTGTGGTGTGATAATAAGTCAGCTCTTCACATTACGGCGAATCCCGTTTTTCATGAACGAACCAAGCATCTAGAGATTGATTGCCACATTGTGCGAGACAAATTCAAGGAAGGTTTTGTTCTTCCTCAGTTCGTTTCTTCTTCTCATCAGTTGGCAGACGTTTTCACGAAGGCTTTACCTCCTCCACAGTTTCATACACTTACTGGCAAGCTGGGTCTTGCAGATCTTCATCTGGCTCCAGCTTGAGGGGGGATGAAGAATTTGTTAATTTTTTCTTTNTAAAAATATATTTAATGCCTCAAAAATACGAAACGCATTATGACGCTTATTCTTCGCATTGACACGCCTAAACTTGTGATTCTTGATTCTCGGTCTCGATGCTTCGCACGCATTACGCATTTTAGAACACTGATGTTAAGGCAATATAACATTTAATTTTGTGATATGGTCAAACGTGTTCTACTTTTGGGATTCACTTGACAAGAAGAAGCTCGTTAGAAGATATATTGTATTTCTTGAAGATCAATCTATTAATCCCAATGAAAAAGTTAAGAAACAATAATCTTATGCTGAAATTCGACTTAAATTGTATCTTATTTTTCTACACGTCAAGAATCTTATGACACCGGAGGGAAAGTAGTCGACTTTGCCTCAAATTTTAAATGAGTTTCGAATTTGAGAGTTTTCCATGTAAAAAATCAGCGTAAAACTAAAACACAATTAGTTTATTTTTCGTATTTTCACAATTAAAGAGTTCATTTTTTATAGCATTTTTGGTGTGATATCCACAACAAAAATGACTAGAACACATGAGAGAGAGAGAGAGAGAGAGAGAGAGAGAGAGACTGATTAATTTTCTCATCCAGAAAGTTTGTGTTACAACTTACAAAGAAAGAAGATTCTAACATTAAGCGAGAGACAAATGATCACATTAGGCTTAAACAAAACCCACAAGGCAGAAAATAAAACAATGATCAAAAAGAATTTGAATAAACCAACTGTAAACTACCCATAAAATAATTAATGGCAGCTTTACCTGAAAAATCCCCTAAGGCGGAAAATTTGTGAACTGCCAACCATATATTTTGAACATGGGGCTTAATCCTTTTGGCAGCATTCACTTAGAGCACAATGGAATAAATTTTTCAATGGAAAATCTGCCATTTATAGGTACTGAGTTTGTATTCTGTCCCTGTTTGTCTCCCACCAGAGCTTTGCATTCACCTCTCCAAACTTTTCCCGGCTGCATCCAACAAATCGACAGATAAGACAATGACGATTAATTTTCATGTTAGACATGGAAGTTTATTTTGTTTTGAAGTTGTCACTTAAATTTACCTGAATCTGACACGCCGAAGCTCCCTAGTACCATCGACCAGTTGTCTGATGGTAATATATACTCCCGGCTCATCTTCTTCGATCCACTCCGATTCAATGTCACTGGCATTGCTTATGGAAACTGATGGCTCGTCTATTGAGGCGTTTGTATCCCTCGATGCTTCCATATACGACATCTCACCTCTTGGTGCACCACTAGGATAAGCTCTTGATCCTGCATTATAATACTGACTGCCACCATGGTCTGGTGGGAAATAATTACTACTCCCAGAGGGCCTATTCCTTACTGATGGAGTCATCCTCGGGCTTTCCCGGGCATATTCTAGCCGCGAGTAAGTAGAATCCCTCTGCATCAGTAAGAATCCAAGTTTCCATTAGTTCACAACTTTTTATGCAGGTGTATATTGATGTAACTGTTAATCTGAATCTCTTTACATCACACATTATTATTTAGGGACTAATGAAGGGCTAAAAGAACCGGTATTCAAGTGCAAGATCTCATTTAGAGTGATCATACTGCATATCGTTCCACAGTCGTAAAAAGCAGGTAACTTTACCTATAGATATAAGCGAACGCGTAAAATATACATTTTCTGGAAAAGGAGAAACAAGGGATTTACCCCATCCTCAGATCTCCCGGGAGTGTTAAAAGCTTGCTGATTGAATTTCTGAACATTGTAGAGCTCCATTATTCTATCGTAATTTTCGCCCCACCATCTCTGAGCTTCCCATTTATCGAACATCTCTCGGCTTCAGATTCAATAATAATCTTGAATTAATATCAATTCCAATAGAGTTTTTCAATTTATAAAACAATTTGGCATCCTATTAGTTCCAAGTTCTTTCAATATCAGATTGGAAAGTTGAATGAATCATATGGTTGTACCTTAATTATATTCAATTCACAGTTGTTAACATGATGGAAGCATGAATATGGGTTAGAGACGTTAAGTTGTTGATAAGTACGTACCTGAAACGGATTCGTTTAAGATCATTTCCACCGCGAGGGAGAGACACGAAAGTAATTTGAACACCTGGCTCCACCTGTGCCATCCATTCTTTAGGTTCATCATCATTTTCTAGCACCACTTCACCATACTTAGTCGAGATAGATTCTCGTGCATCAGGGGTTTGATCACCGGTAAATGCTCTGCTAGATCTTGAGTCAGGTCGAGAAGCACGATGTGCAGTGCTAGTGAAATCCCAAGCTGGAGTAGAACTTGTGCTTCCTGGTTGCATATAAGAAGGGTATGGCCCTTCTGATATATCGAAATCAGGATATGATCTTTGACCTCTCTTATAGCTGCTCTCTCCTTTGCTTTGTTTACTAGATCCCGAGACCTTCACTGCCAAATCCTTGATCTGATCATCATCACAATTACAAGTTCTTAGGATTAACGGATTTTTGTTTTTTTGAATAGAAATAAGAATTATGACTACATTTGGTGCACGGTACTCGATAGTACATTACAATAGAAGTATCCCTTGTATGATACGTCTTGGCTACACTTCTCGTCCCTCCAGAAGAGAACATAAAGTACGACATACAAAACATCTTGAAAAAACTGTCTTAGTACGGTTTGATTTACTTAATCTAACGTCTCAATAAAACTTAAAGAAGTGTACACTTCCTTAGAGCTGAAGCACAGCAGACTGTATCTTCTTTTGTACCAGCAAACTGCTATATTATCTACAATATCAGAAGCAATGTAGAAATTTGACTACAAAGTCATTTGAAGTGTATTGACCTAGAAATATTAGTTTCTTGCTCAGAGTTCAGTATATTCAAGGCTGCCACTGGCTCTTTCAGAACAAAGTAGCTGCCTTACACAGTCCAAAGCATTTGATACAGCTGTTTGACTATATTTTGACTCTGCAGGCACTGATATTTATCCCCTGTATATGTACTAATCACAACATTAATTGCATGTTTCATATGCAGTATTAGGCCGTGCTTACAGTATAATAACAATATTTAACTTTTTTTTCTTCGTAATTAGTTACATGACTATCTAAACTATCATACTAAACGTGTTATATGTGTATGCTTGACACACAGTATTAGATTGTACTAAGCATAAAATAGAAAATACTTTAATTTTTTTTTTTTGTTTAATACTATCTAGTACTGTCTAATCTCAAATGTACTGTAATAAAGATTGACGTTGGAACAAAGTAGTGGACAAGTATTCAAAGGTGGGTCATTTAAAAGGTGAGTCTTCTCCAAGCATGTCTCGTCTTTTCCTATGATACCACCAAGAAAGACTATAAGCTCACTTTCCAAACCTATCAGAGTATTCAATTTTTTTTCTAGAGATTGATTCCTTTAAGTTTATAGCTCATTAATCTTTTGTCGACTATTTTTGAGCATTCAATTTCTTTTAAAGAGATCGATCCCTACTCTTAAAAATAAGAATACAGCCTAAAGGGTCCCACAAGAGGAAGAAAAACAAGTGGACCCCACCATTGGATGTAATGAAAGCGACAGTAGTTTATAGATCCTTTGTGTTCAGGACAAAGAAACTGGCACAAAAAAGCAAAGCAAAAGACAAATGATAGCTCGGATTTAGCAACAATTTAGGCGACAGTATAATTTATCATCGTCCAATGAACACATGTATCTTTGAGTATCTATAGAGGGAGGGTGAGGACCTGATTGGTGAGGGTCTTGACTGCGTCTTTTGTATTTGGAGTCCCTCTCGGTGCTTCTTCTCCATCATCAGCTCGTTGCTTTGAGCACGTTATACACGTCAACATTTTTCACTATATTATTTTTTAAATATTCAATTTTTTAAAATTATATATTCTGTTTCACCTGCATGGAAATTAGGAAAAAATATAATGTATTAGAAAAACTTTATATCTTTATCAAGATTTTTTAATAAATCCAAAAAAAGTTTTTCTTGTTCATGAATAAAATCTGATTGGTGCAGATTCTTCTGCAACAATCAAGAAATAGAAACTATTCTCTCAAAATAAAAATAAAATGCCAATCTCTCACTTTCCAAATTAAAAAAAAAAA